AGGACAGAGTGAGGACAGAGGATGTAGAGGACAGAGTGAGGACAGAGGATGTAGAGGACAGAGTGAGATGAAGAAGGACTCGCTGTGGAGACCCTGAAGAGGGAAAAGGTGAAAGAAGACGTTAAATGTTGACGTAGAGCTCCTTCTCTTCTCTCCTTTTGTCTTTCTGTTCCTTCTTGTGTTGAAGAGAAGACCGTACTGAACCCCCGATCTGTTCCACGTGAGTTGTTTTGCCTCCGTGAACGCCTCTCATGCCCTCGCCACTCCCGGCGTGTAGTCAGCTGCGATGTATATGGTTGATTGTTTGAAGTGGACCAGGCCACCGCTGCAGTCCCTCTGTAATATTTCCACACATTCTTGATGGTAATGAAGCCTGGCCATGACAACTGATCTCCCATCTGAGCCTTTTCTGCACGGTGTCTGGTACACACGATCAACCAGCGGCAATTTGCTCAATTTTAGGTCTTCCATTAGCATTTTAGCTATCACTGTTGGGGTACATTCACCTGCTGACTCAGGAAGTCCAATAATTCTAATATTGTCATGTCTCATATTTCCCTCCACAGATTCAAACCGTCTCCACTTCACTCCTCAGCTCCTTCACCGTCCCATGGAGTTTCTCTATTTCATCTGAGCATAAGGACGGACCGTTCTCATTCTGTGAAACATCAGAATCAGTTTTATTGCCATTGCACAGAAATACAACAAAATTACATAAACAATAAGCATCCAGTTTAACTTGGTCAAGCTCCACTCTGAGGCCTGCCGTGGTGTTAGCGAGCTCTGCATGGACTGCGTTTCAGATCGCTTTTAATAAAATTAAAATCATCCGTCAGAGCCGCTCTTATTTCCATCCTAACTATCGCTATGAATTCTGATTTAATTGAAGCCAGAATATCTGTCTTCAGACTCCTCTGTCCCTCCAGAGCTCGGCGAAGGTGGGGTCGACGCCCCCGCAGACCCACCTGCACTTGCAGCCTCTCCATCACGGCGACTCGAGACTGCAGCCACGGGCCGCACGAGAGAAGAGACACAAACTTTAGACTTTGTTTGCTTCGTGGTCATTTCATAAATTTGTTGAGTCATTTATGCGGCGATACCAGCCCCAGAAACAAAACCCAGCTTGAAGGCAGCGAGGGTAGAATCATCCAAGGCAACTTTTCAGCGGGGCCAACAGGAGCTCAGCCAAGACGCAGTTCACCTGTCCGCCGCCATGTTTCTCCCCCCTAACATGCATGTAGAGAACATGCAAACTCCACTCAGAAACGTCCCCGGCTAGGATTTGAACTGGGGCGACCTGCTTGCTGAGAGGTGGCAGCTCTATCAACTGATCCACAGTGCTGCCTGGGTTAGGGTTATAGGTGATAATAAAGTTTATACAAACTGAAGTGAATGAAACACATCTTGTTCACACATCTATGCATGTCATTTTATTCACAGTTATATAAAAATAGCTTTAATAGATATACACTTAAATGTACAGCACACAGAGAAGTTAAGGACTGATGAGGTGACAGAGTCATGGAGGCTGAACGTCACACCTGCAAGCACCAGAGTTTTGTGACGGAGTATCAAGGCCATGTGAGGTGGTGTCAGCACTGTGTGTGGGAGCAGGAGGAGTAGAGGAACAGCAGGATGAAACAATCAATGAGAAGGATGCTGTAGAAACATCTCTGAGTGTGCAAACTTGGACTTCTCTGAAAGCGAGTGAGCAGCATAGCCAGCAGTAAGAAGAATGCGGCAGTGTTCAAGAGAAGGAACAGTCTGATGTAGGAAGCCGTAGTGGAGACCCTTTCACTCCTCGCTGTGGCCACCATGTGAACTTCCTTAAATCTGCGGCCCTTGATAAAAGCTCCCTTCCGGTTCTTGTGACTATCTGTATAATCCACAAAGGCTTGTGAATCTGCATCTCCTTCCTCTGGACTGTCCTCATATGTCTGCTTTGATGTCCTCTGTCTCTCCTTCTTCTCATTTAACTCAATCTGTGCAAAAATGTCAGGCAGACTTTCAGAAAGCTTCTCTCTGAGGTTCATCCTCTTCCCTCCTTTACCCTTGTTCTGTTTCTTAGACATAGCAAACATTTTCTCAATGACCTCCTCTGTCTTCTTTTTGTCCGAAAACTGGAGGAGACGTTCTGCAGTCTTACGAAAGGTGGCAGTGTTGAGGACCCGTCCCAGGATGTGCCTCTCCATCTGCTGGAACACAGGCTTCACATGCTGGAGATTGTCCTCCATCACATTGACATATTCTTCTACCTCCTCGGGTGATCTTTCCACCACAGCAGCTGCCCTCTCAAACACAATCTTCTTGTGGTCCAGCAGCACCATAGCAAACAAAGGCTTGCTGGGGACTTCTCCGGTCAGCAGGTAGATGGTGTAGGTGTGGTCCTTGGTGGCAAGGTAAACATCCACCCTCTGATCGTCCCCACGTAAGCTGAAGCTCTGTACATCTATGTCTGGTCCAAACAAAATGTAGGCCACCCTTGTGTGAGGGTACCTCAGTGGCATTGTGACATTCACATAGTTAGAGCCATTGTAGGCGTATCCTCGAGGGTAAGTCCAGTAACCCACCCTCCCTTTATTGCTGGAGTTTGTGTCGTCCATCCAGAACATCTTATATTTATCTCCCCTATGAGTTGCAAACGCCCCATAAACACCATCTACCTTTGTGCTTTGGAATGGCAACTCTGTGTTGTGAAAGAAGGCACTCATGGCCCTGGCAGGGCTGTCCGAATCCAGATGGATGTGGTCCACCAGAACCAGGAGCTGTGGGTGAAGAAGGAGTAGGTTCCTCTGGAAGTTCCTGATCTTCAGTGCCGGATTATAAGCAGAATGTGCCTCACCTCGAATGAATACCATATTGTCTCTCTTCAGAGCAGCTTCTATTTGGCCCTGAGCATCTGCAGCAAGACCCACTTTGTACTTCAGCCACTTGGAGTCGCAGGCCTCTGTGACCTGTCCAACCCATGGCTCAAAGCAGCTCCCTGGGAGGGCAGCACCAAACAGCACTGCGTTGTTCAACAAAGTGTACTTGGGTCCGTACAGCGCCTCTGTGATGAACGGGACACCGTTGGGTGCAAAGGTGAACGTGTTCTGATCAGGGTGCTCATGACCAGCATTAAAGTTCCTCCAGCCTTTGATCCACTCTTTGTACTTACTCTTGTGAACTGTATCAAAGATGGCACGTCCCCCCAGTTTGCCAGACTTGAAGGACAGAAAGGAGTTGTTAGTGTCTGCAGGCAAAGCACTACCATAAGTGACCACACCCCAGTCCTCAAAGTGGTGAAGCTGAGAAGTCCCGAAATCTGGTGGGGGTTTGGGCATCAATCCTGGGTCATACCTGCATCACAGGAAAAATAAATATCAGAAAACCAACCAGACAAACAACCTAAAGCTCCTTTTTCATCCAGAGATTTTTAACAGAGCATGGACTGCAAGGAAAGGACAATAAATCAGTTTGTTGACACCTGTAATATAACAAAGAAATAGTTAAGAGCAGAGGTCACAAACTCGTGGACATGGTCCAGATCCAGACCCAGAAGCTGTTCCATACAGACCAAGAGCTACAGCCAAGATAGAGTGGCGTAATTTAAAACCTGATGGGGAACATCCATTTAAACCTGCACTATTGCTTTCAATATTATTACTGTTATTGTCACTTTATTAATTATATATTTATATGTACTGTACTTTCTGGTCTATAAACCACTACTTTTTTCACACGCTTTGAACCCTGCAGCTTATACAATGCTGCAGCTAATTTATGGATTTTTTTTTTGACGGGCTAATGAGCTTCCTGTCACCAAAAACATTTAATTTCATCACACATGGGCACTCAAAGAGCTGCCCAATACAGGTCTCTCTTGGGGGGTGGGTCCTCGTGACTCAGTGAGACTACCTGCAAATGGTAAATGGACTGTACTTATATATATAACACCTTTCTATCTTATAGAGACACTCAATGCACTTTACAACAATCGGTGCCTCATTTACCCATTCATACAGCTCTATACTAGATCTCTACAAAGCTAATTGAACAAATCATTCTAAAGAGACTAATCAGAGCTTTATCACATTCATACACTGATGGACACACATCAGAGGCTATGAGGGGTTCAGTGTCTTGTCCAGGGACACTTCAGCATGTGACTGCTGGTGGATTCGAACCTCCAACTCTTGCATTGGAGGACGACCGCTCTAACCACTCAGCCACAGCCGCCCTACAATAATATAGGTAATAAATAAAGGTTAAAAAATGACCAATGAAATTACCGACTAGGTCCAGTGGAATACAACGAAACGGGGAGGGCAGTTCTGATGGAGATGTGACGTCAGATGTTTTTCACTTACTGAAGTCAAATGTTCAAACTCATGTTAACATGTGTGTGTGTTCAAGAGTTGTTTTGTGTGGATCAGAGAGGCTGCAGCAGTCGTCTGACCTTGCCTTGTCTGATAACATTTATAAAAAGACTCTTTTAGTCTCTCGGCGAGCAGACTTGGGACGGAGCGTCATGCAACATTTTGACGCTTGTATTTCAACACTGCTCCATTTTACAAGATTAAAACCTGGGATTAAGAAAATATCTACCTCTCCTGTGTGACACGTTTATTTAAAGAGCTATTATAAGGATAATAATAAATTATTCTAACATTTTTAGTCCTTCGAGAGCCGCCCTCAAGATCTTATCTCGGATCCACCAGGAAGACCTGACATCGTGCACGAGCAGGATTTCCCTTTTTTGAAGTCCTCAGGCTTGAATTGCTTTGGGGCAGGTTGCTTCCTGTGGGATCTGAGATGGTGACGAGGAAACGAACACAGCCCGCAGGAGGATCATTTTGGAGAATCTGTTGTTGATTGGACGTTGTGGAGGATTTGTGATCCTGTCGTGTTTTGGTTCAACAACTTATTGTTTTAGGGAGACCGGGGTGTCTTGAGTGGAATTAGGCTTAAAGGAAAAAATAAAATAAAATAAAGATAAACCTGAAAAAGCCGTCAAGGAGGAACGTGCTTGTGAGAAATCTGGTATTCATAGAAGGAAAAAAAAAGTTAAGGTTTGGGAAACGTTTGAAGGTCCGGGGGACCTAATTGTTCTCATCTAAAGACTCGATGTATTCTGTCGGAGATAATACAGAGTTTACTGCAGTTATAGTCATGGAAATATTGGAAATTATTTGGGAAAATCACTCAGGAAAATAATAATAAACAAAAGTTTTAAAGAAAATAAAGGCTAGAATACGACCCAGATGATTTTAAGAGAAAAAAGGAGAGAAACAAAGAAAAGACTCTGGAGCGTGTGTTTGCTTGTTGAGGAAGGCAGATAAATGCTTGTTTTCTACGCTGCAAACAGGTGTGTGTGTGTGTGTGTGTGTGTGTGTGTGTGTGGCCAGCAGTGCACGTGTGTGTCTCTGTGCAGGAGAGCAGGTTTTTGTCTGGAGTGTGTAGAAAAAACAAAAAAACAGGAGGCATGCAGTTTCAGAATGGCGTCTGATGTGGTCCTGACTTTAGGACATTAACATATTGATCTAAATTAGTCTTGGAGTTGAAAATGTAATAGCCAACTACAGTTAAACTATTTGGAAATAGATGTTGATATTAATTTCTGGGGTGGAAGTTGTTAAACTTGTAAAGAAAAGCATTTGTTGAGCAGGAAATCTCATTTTTAGGGGTAGATAAACGAATAAATACGAGGATATTGAAATGAAACCTTGTTGATAAAAGATAATTTTCAAACAAATATCAAATGGTGCTTAGATGTGGATTTTATTCGAGTTTTTTTAAATCAGGCGAGGGAAAAGCTGGGCCCTTCTTGTGTGAAAACTATGGGTTGCTGGTAAAGATTCTCAGTGGGATTCTCTCTTGGCTGTTCTGGAGACGCCGACAGGCAGCCTGGTTAAAATGATCGATTGCAAAATTCATAGAAAAATTTATGGTTGTTTATTTGATCAAGCAGCGGTTGAGGAACGCTGACAGTTTCAGATCAATCTGTTAATCTGTACGACTTCGTTTGCATTAGCCATTAGCATGCTACATGCTAGTGCGACCAAAATGTTCGCCTGAAAATGGTTAAAGTTACAATAAAGATACTTGTAAACGGTCCGCGTGTATGTGTTAAAGCTGAGATGAGCTTTGAAACATAATTTTTCTGCTTTGTGTTTGTGGAACAAGGTCAAAAGAGATGGTTCCGGTTCAGTTGAACCAAATCAGTGACAAGACCCAAACAGGAGGCGGACTTCCAGCAAGATGGCGGAGAGAGCGGCTGCGCTGTGCAGACCTCCAGGTAGCAAAGCTCGAAAAAAAGATGTAATTTGAAAAACTGTGATGTCCTGACTCATTACAAGTAAAGGAGGATCAATTCGAAATTAAAAAGACTGCCCAACGTAAACGTGAGAAATAACAACGGGCAAAAGAAAACAACGTGATAATGGCTACTAGCAAAGCTAACAGCACCGCTAACAAAGCTCTGCTAGCACATAACTACTGCCACGCACAAAATATGGAAACTGATGCCAAAGGAATCAAAAATGCCTTAACATCACCGTGTAAATGAGTTGTAAATGTAAACCTTGTAAATGAGTCCTCGAGGCTCAATGGGATTACCTGTCTAAATAAAGTGTAAGACCCCAGTACCACACCAGAAGACAAAGGGAGACGAGGAGGTCGGTTCAAATGCGTCTTATGCCGTGCTCCTAGCAGCAGTTGAAAGTCTTCAGCAAATGATGTCCAAGTTTGGTGAAGAAATGAAGGAAATGAGAGCAGAAATGAAACGGAACATGCTCTCCATTGATAATATCATCAAGACGGTGGATTACAACAGCTCTGAAATCCAGGAGTGTAAAGCTAAAAACGAAAAGATGGAAAAAGAGATAACACAACTTAAAGCTGCAAACACGGAGCTGACAAAGGAAATCCAGGATATTAAAAGAAAAGCGGCAGAGTCGAGCGCTATAAAAGAAGATGGAACCTGCGCATCAACAGCTTAAAAGAGGACAAAGATGAAGACACCAAACAGAAAGTCGTGGATGTCATCAAACAGATCATGCCACAATGGAAAGAGGAGACAGACATGATTCTGGACACTGTGCACCACCTGGGCCCAAACAACACCAACCGCCCACGACAGATTATTACAGTTCACAGGTCGATTCTTCAGAGATGAACTTTGGAGATGCACAAAACAACACCCCACCTGCAGAGAGCTCAACATCCGATTGGCTGAGGACCTCACCAAAGAAGAGCGGGAAGCACGACTAGCTGTGTGGCCCAAGTGAACGAAGCACGGAGAGCTGGGATGAAGGCCGTGTTTAAAGGCCCACATGCCTTCATCAAAGGACAACGAGTTACTCCTTAGATATTTGTACAATAGACCCACATGCCATTTCTGAGCTCAGGTAATCTTATTATTCCATGAGTTTTGCTACCTACAGCTCAGGTTTATTTCTCAGGTAACATCTATCCAAGTTATGTTCAGATTTAACTTGAAGAGTGAACTTTCACTCATTTCTGTTCATGCAAGGGACTTAAGAGACTTAACTAAGAGGAAAAGTTTGTTTTTATTTTGTAAAGGGCAAAATGCAAACATAATATTCTTACAGGAGACTCAATGAAAACATGAAGACAGCAACTTTTGGTCTAAGCAATGGGGAAATGAAGCTTACTTTTGTCATGGCTCCTCCACACCAGCAGGGGTCGCTATTCTATTAAAAAACTTCCAGGGTCAAATAATTTCAAAAGAACTGGATGAACATGGTCACTGGTTATTCCTCACTGTCTGTTTGGATAATCTAATAATTATTTTAGTGAATATATGGATATAATAATCCAAACCAGAACAAATTATTGCTGGAAGAAATAGCCCTGAAATTCAATCAGCTAAAATCAACTTCCTCAACAAACAACGTCATCGTTGGAGGAGATCTCAACCTGGTTCAGGAGGAATTTTATGACAGATGTCCCTGGAAACTCGACTCAGCTCACCCAAACACAACATTCAACAACTTCTGCAATGAACACAATCTAGTTGACGCGTGGCGTCAGCTCAATCCCGGGTCAATAAAATTCTCATGGTTCGGTTCAAATAGCAAATCAAGAATTGATCACTGGCTTGTAGCAAATGAATTATTGATCAATTAAATCAACTCTGATATTTCTGTAGCACCTTTGACTGACCATAGTCTTATTTCCTTACAAATAAAACCCCAAAACAGGAAACCAGGCTCAAGCAAATATTGGAAATTTAACTCCAGTCTTCTTAAAAATGACACCTACTGCCAAAAGATCAAAGAATTAATCCTGAATATAACGGACTGTGAAGATTTAAATAGCCCAGTCCAAAAATGGGA